GCCGCAGTACGCCGCCTAACGCGGCCTGCTTCACCGCTGTTAGGTGCCTACCCTTGTAAAGTCCTTTCTTCCTTCTTCAGCTTAGAATAGTCAATCGACGGCACCTCTACGCTGAACAAGCCTAGGGGCCAGCCCCTTACATCAAGAGCTTAAGGTTGCGGCTGACAGTCAAACCTTAGATGACATATGCATATTTACCCAAAAAACGAATAGCTAAAAATGTAAAGTTTGACTAATAATTTATAATTATTGAGGCGTATAATGTTCAAGCCGCTGGCTTTGCAGTTGAACTCACTTTACCAGCGATCTATCTATGGAACCTGCCCCTCGTCATTGCGTATTTGTGTCTTCACGAATCACGATTAATTTTAATGAGAGGCTGTTCTCCTAAACGTCGCGGCAATAGCTGATGTTATGTTTTTCAATCTTGCATTGAGGACATGTTAGTTGCGATTGAGGTTACACCACCAAATTCGTCAGCACTTTGAATTGACTACAATTTCGGTTGAGCAATGTCTTCCGTCTGTGTACGCAACTGTTGATGTACTTTCAATAAAGTGTGAGACTTTTGGGCGAAAATAACCAGGTTGGTCTTCGATTGCAGCATGTAAGCATTCAATTATTGTCTTTTTTCATCATAAACGGAAGTGAACGATGCATTTCGCGCCCTGTGTTTGACATGTTTTCTGGGGCCAATTGACCAGTATGAAATGTAAGCTGTACTTCCGGTACCCCGTGCCGCTTAGCAAATAAACTTGAGTCACTTTTCAAAGCCCGAACCGCCGCTTCGGCGGCATGTGACGCACTTGCCATTCATTCATTCATAGCGTCGCGTTAGGCGAAGACTTCGCTCTCTAGACTATCATCAACTTGCTGTGTCATCTCGTCAGCACTGTCACACTACTGATCGGGTAAATGTAACAACAAACTCACTGCTCAATCCCCGAATTTAAATGACATTCTGATAACCGTGAGACGGCCGGCATTGAGCTCACCAATTTCTCGCGAATTACACTTGCAAACTGGAAGTGGCCAAATCAAGGACACATGCAATAAATACATTTTATCAATTGGCACGTTCAATTCTTGAAGGTAGAAGCGTTGGCCCGAGCAAAAGGGTAGAATCCGGGCTATTCCCGCCAAACTACCAAATAGGCCGGAAGCGCGTCGGCATCTGGTTGGTCCACCGTGCGGTACCGGCCCGAAACTGCAAAGTTCGCGTAAGAGATTCAAAAGCCGGGGGATCTTTTGAGATTAGTAACTCCGCGGGGTGCATCATAGAGTATGACTATTTCTCTTGAACCCTTGTTTTCCTGCAACCTCGGTAAGCAGTAAGGAAAAAACACAACAAAGCCAACAAAACCGACGACATCGCCAAGGGCAATCGGCAGTTCAATTGCAACCCCCCAGCAAACCGAACAAACTGCAACAAACTGCTCCAGACTTCCGTACAACCGCCTCAAAGTCACCGGTCGGAGCCCATCCCATGACGCCACCAACCACATTCCGTCGATGATAGCGCAGGAAGCCCAGTCAGGCAAAATGGACCGTACAGACAAGGAAGCGAGATCAGACTCGTCGCGGAATGATGGCCTCGTGGATGTTGAGGCGGCCGCAACAGAGAGTCGCGTTGGACGCGTACTGAGTCGAATCGCGTCGGTCCCGACTACAGACCCTGGCCCTCCACCCGATGGAGGCTACTCTGCGTGGATGGCTGGTAAGAGCCAATGAAGACTGTTGAATTGAATGACGAAGGTCTCGTCTCTGACTTGCTTTTTAAAATGTAGCTCTTGCCGCTCACTTCATCTTCATGGACACATGGTAAGGGTCCGCCTCTGCTTCAGGTTTCCACAAAAACTGATGTTGTCATACTTGCAGGGGTTTTATCAACTCTTTCGGAGTCTTCCAGACATACTATGTTGAATTGTTAAAGCGACCACCTGCCGACGTCTCTTGGATTGGCTCTATTCAAGTCTTCCTGCTGTTCTTCATTGGCGCCTTTTCAGGCCGATTCACAGACGCAGGCTACTTTCGTCCTCTGTTTCTCTGCGGATCATTCTTAATTCTTCTCGGCACCTTCGCAACCTCATGGTGCACCCAGTACTGGCAAATCCTTCTTTCTCACGGCGTTTGCGTTGGCATAGGGAATGGTCTGTCATTCTGCCCAACGCTGGCAGTACTGTCTACATACTTTGACAAAAGAAGAGCTGTGGCTATTGGTATCGCGGCTGTAGGCAGCGCCTCGGGAGGACTTGTCTTTCCCAGTACCGTTAGGCAATTGCTTCCTTCGGCCGGGTTTCCCTGGGCGATGCGCACGCTTGGCTTCATTCAGCTGGCAACCCTGACGATTGGGTTCATCTTTTTGAAGCCCCGGCTGCCGCCACGCAAAAAGGCTCAGTTGGTGGACCTCAGGGCCTTCCAAGAGTTGGAATATTCTTTCTACGCTGCCGGTGGCTTTTTCGTAAGTCGGACCCAAAGAGACGTTATTTTAAGTTTTAACCCTACTGACTGGACATTATTAATAGTCGTTTATGGGGGTATATTTCGCCTTCTACTACGCCGCCTCGTATAGTCGAGACGAACTCGGCTTCTCATACCCGAACTCGCTCAACCTACTTCTGATCTTGAACGGCATTGGTTTCATCGGACGTCTTGTTCCCAACTGGTTCGCCGACAAGGTGGGAACTATCACCGTGTTTACCCCCATGGCCTTTCTCTCTGGAGTTTTGACATATTGTTGGATTGCCGTCAAGACGCCGACCGGCCTCTACATTTGGACCGTCGTATTCGGTTTCGTGGGCAACGCCGTCCAGGCTCTCTTCCCGGCCGGCGTCAGTGCTCTTACAATCGACCCAAGCAAGCAAGGGACGCGCATCGGTATGATATTTACAATCGTCAGTTTCGCCGTGCTGAGCGGACCTCCCATCGCGGGCGCCATCATCACCGCATGCGGCGGGAGATACTACGGCGCTCAGGCCTTTGCAGGCAGCTGTCTCATGATTGGAACCTTCTTCTTAGCGCTGGCACGGGTAGTCAAGACCAAAAAGAAAGGTGAAGGGTGGTTCGCAAAGATTTAGCGAAGTGTTAACGTTGTGGAAACGTTGCGGAAAAATGCATAGCCAGGGGGGCTCGGTAATTTTGTAACTATAAATCGTGTATATATGTCGGATACCAATGACTCACATATATTTGAAATCCGCGTCTTGTCGCATTGAAGCGGGAGCGCAATATGATATAATATATCGTCACTATCGATCGGCGTTTGCGTACTAGCAGCTTCGGCTCTGCGTCATTCCATGCTGGTGTTCAATTCAGCTCACACGACACATTTTGGGACCTCCAAAGATTTCTTTCAAAGGCGATGAACAAAATGGGTAGAATCTCTTCTCTTCGAGATCTTTCGAAAACAGTTCTTGAGTTATCGACTGGCAACGTACGACTTGCAACTGCCGAAGCTCAACCCCCTGATGGACCTCGGAAGCGGGCAGACAATTCTGACTCGCTACGGGTCCACCACCAAACCTGCAGCGACAGCCTCTTAGTCAGGAACAAACTCGGACAACGTGAATCAATGGCCTCAATCAAGGCTTGAGAATCAAATATGGGTTATGGTCCACGTGCTGTATGCTTACTACCTAGCTTAGCATGGCAATTGTGGAGAGAAATGTCCTAGCTCGATTTTGTCATTGCTTACAGTGATGGCCCAAGACGGAGAATGTGGTCGCTTTTAAAAACCCGCGTATGGGGCCCATGTGGCGATACCAAATTTAACTTTGATATGGATAGCCAAAACAGATTAAGACTCCCCCATCCAGCCCTTCATGATTGGCACAGCTACGTCTTGGCTTCCGAGTTGCCACAATTAGACTAGGTCTCATGCAAGTTGCAACGTCGTTCGGACCAACTTCTGCGCCTTAGGGACCCAGTAAACAACATTTGAACCAAGTCCTCAACCCATCTACATGCAACGGGAAACTTGGCTAAAATGGATCGTGACAGCACACTGACCAATGTAAAAGTGACGATAGTATCGCAGGGCTGGGTAAAGAGGCCCTAAGCGAGCACAACTATCCTTGAAATGGTTCCGCTGGGGGACCCGACGAGATCAGCGGCAGCCTGCCGGCTGTGAGTTGTCTTCCCGGCAAGTCAATTCGACATAAAGCTCTTGTGGCCGGCTGCACTCCCGAAGATTATTGATCAGAGGAAGTCAGTCTTGGCTTTTGTCAGTTCATCCGAAAAAGCGACCCTGACATCATGGCAGTCCTCCGCCAATGCCTGTGGCTTCTTGTGGCGGCTCAAGTCACTGCCACGGCTGCTGCCACGAGCTCTTACAACTTTACGCAAGCTGCCATCGACAAGGGCGAGGCCATGACCCAACTCAGCGCCGATGCGCTTCGGGCGGCAAAGGCCTTGAATGCAGCTTCGGGCCTCAACTCAACCTGCACACCCGATAAGGTTCAGGTTAGGAAAGAATGGTGAGGCACATCGAGCATTATTCGTCATTGCCCCTTCACGTCTAACACTTGAGTCACAGGAGAACTCTTCCTGCGGAAGAGCGCAAGTCTTTCGTTGCCGCAGTCCAGTGCCTTCAATCTTCTCCGACCTTGCTCGATGCTGTTCAGATGCCCGCGGCCAAGTCCCTCTTCGATGACTTCGTTTTGATTCACATGAACCAGACTGGGAGGATACACGCAACGGTATGTACTCCATTAGATGCCTAGCCAAGGGCCCAAGATGGTCAGCATCGAGACTAAGTACGTGAAACGTTAGGCAAACTTTCTGACTTGGCATCGTTATTTCACTTGGATCTACGAGCAGAAGCTGCGCTCTGTTTGTGGCTACCAAGGTAAGTGACGCGGCCCAACTTTCGTCTCAAATATTAAGAGGTCTCACCAACAACGGCAGGAACCTTCCCGTACTGGGATTGGAGTCTCGACGTCGAAGACCCGGCCAAGTCCCCCGTATTCGACGGATCTGAGACCTCCATGGGAGGCAACGGCGCCTTCATCCCTCACGAGGGACTGCAGCTTGTGCAACCCGTCTCCAACACCACCATCAAGCTCGAGCCCGGCTCCGGCGGTGGCTGTGTCGAGTCCGGCCCGTTCGCGAACATGACGGTCCACGTAGGTCCCGTCTCGATGCCGGTGTACGGCTCTTCGACGAACAGAACCGCAGCCGCGAAACCCACGGACGACAAACCCCGCTGCCTCAAACGCGACCTCAACAAGCACATCGCCCAGCGGTACACCTCTTTCCGCAACGTCACTAGTCTGATCTTGGAAAACGACAACGTCGAGTGGTTCCAGGCCGTTTTCCAGGGTGACGATCGCTACGTTTCTGGAGTCGAGCTCGGCGCTCACGGAGGTGGTCATTACACCATCGGTGGTAAGTCCTCAGCCTCTGATCTGATTGAAGATGCAAGTGTTGGAATCGCGATTTGCGCCGGGTCTCGTGCGTGATCGGGGCCGGTGGGCGGGGGCAGTCGGGGCACACCTGCCTTGATCACCACGGCGGCTCGGCCAACGATCCCTCGTATTTACGCACTTGTTGCCAATTTCAGCCTCTTGACACGATCTGTGGGACTCACACTGACACTTATGACTTTCAGGTGATCCTGGCTCGGACCCCTTCATCTCGCCCGGCGAGCCGGTCTTCTTCCTGCACCACGCCCAGGTTGACCGCGTCTACTGGATCTGGCAGATGCTTGATTTTGCAAACCGACAGGTATGTTTTTGGATGCTTCTTTGTTTCGCCCAGCCTTCCGCGGGATGCGTCTGTGGACAAATTTAGACTGACCATGTTTTCGTTTGAAGGAGGTTTTTGGCACCGAAACGTTGCAGAACAACCCGCCAAGCCGAAACGTCACGGTGGAGGACACTGTCGATATTTCACCCCTTGGTGGGCCGCTCGTCATGAAGGATCTGATGAGCACCGTCGGAGGATCCCCCTTCTGCTACGTCTACGAATGATTTTCGTTCAAGACCAATGGCTTAATCGATGATTCCCAATTATCGTTTCAACCCGTATTTACTAAGACAGAGGCTGTACATAGACATTAAAGCTGGCCAAGGCTAGTCCTTCGCATTTAATCAAGATACCCTCTCAAGTTAGCAACAACTCTGGCTCGTTAGTGGTTCAATGGTAGATTCAGATCTGTCCGATGGATAGATCCGACGGGCGGCGTGCAGGCAATTCGCGCCCTAGACGGTGAGGCGCACATGCATGTGTCACCTTTGACTCCGATCTGCCCGCATGGCATGATCTGATGCCATCCGAAGGTGGCTGCATGATGAGCTTAGCCAGGCTCTACTTGTCAATTTGAAACTCTTGGCCAGGGGTGGTTCGTCTAATAAGAGGGCCGCAGCACAAAAGGGACAACTCGTGACGAGCGAGGTCGCCGGGGACCGGGGGGCAAGAGTTAGGACGAAACTCTATTCGGCGGGAATCCATGTTTTCGGAGGGAAAATGCGGCAGTTGATCCCAAACCCGGCTTAACGAGAATCATATGCCAGGGGTCCTGGCCTTGGTTCCTAATTAGGTTTGCGGCCTGGAACAGAACCTCACGACAGATGGCATCAAACCCGTCTGAAACCCCCGCAGCCCCCAAAAATGAAGCCCAGACTCTCCGGTGAGCGCGCCGGTCGGGGCGCGGTGAGTAAGAGATCGAGTCAAGAATAATCCGGTCTTTTTCACCGTTGAGAGTCCGTGTTCGAGGCATGTCAGTATAACAGATGGCATGGCGCTGCAACTTCAACTTTCAGACGATGTCGAGCGAGCCTCTCGTTATGTTGGCATGATTTCCGGGTCTTTTCTTATTATCACTTTTTAGTCGGTCACTTCCGCAATAATGTTTTCCTTAACCCAAGCCTTCTTTTCTATTCTCTCGGCCGGAATCATCGGTCAGGTCCAGGCGGTTGATCCGCTCGTCGACCTTGGCTATACTAAACTTCAGGGCGTCGCTGAGCCAAGCGGTGCGACTCGGTGGTTGGGCGTTCGTTTTGCGGCACCACCAACTGGTCAACTTCGATTCGCCGCGCCCGTCGACCCTCCCGCTACAACCGACGTTCAAGATGCTTCTCAGGTACCATTCGCTTGTTCTCTCGGCATCTGCCCACTCACTCATTTCTTGTCCAGTTCCGCCCGATATGTCTCGCTCGAAGCGCGTCAGATTTCACCATGAAGCCCAACAAGCGGTTCACCACCGATGAGGACTGCTTGTACGTCAACATCTTCGCGCCATCCAATGCGACTCCCGATTCGAAGCTGCCGGTCATGTACTTCATCCAAGGTGGAGGTTTTCAGTCGCTCTCGAACGCCAACTTCAACGGCAGTGACCTGGCCAGGTTTGGAAACATGCTGGTGGTCCAGGTCAACTACCGTGTTGGGCCCTATGGTTTCTTGCAGAGCAAGGAGGTTCAGGCTGGCGCGAGCATGAACAACGGGTTGAAGGACCAGATCCAGGGATTGAAATGGCTTAAACAGCACGCTGCTGCGGTGAGTATCGCTATAGCCGATTGGTGGCCTCGTGACTGACATGAAACCAGTTCGGAGGAAACCCCGACCAGATGGTAGCTGTTGGAGACTCGGCCGGCGCAACCTCTGTCGCCATGCTTCTCGCTGCGTTCGGTGACAACGACCCCGGCTTGATCAAGGGCGCCATCATGGAATCCGTCAGTGTGGCCACTGTTCGCACCCTTGAGCAGGGCCAAGAGCAGTACAACTGCCTGACTAATGCTACCGGCTGCAACAAGCAACCCGACTCTCTTGCTTGTCTCCGTGGTCTTGATGCCAAGGCGTTGCAGACGGAGAACTGCCAGTTCAACCCCAACCTCGACGGTGATCTCGTCAAAGCACCAACTTTGCAACGCTTTGCCGAGGGCAAGTACCTCAAAGTCCCAACCATCGCCGGAACGTGTACCGATGAGGGAACCAAGAACGTTCCGCAGAGCACCGACACCATCGAGGATGCTCTCAAGACGATCAACAACCAGGCGACGCAGTCACTGAGCAATGCATCTCTGACAGTGCTTCAGCAGACGTACCTCGATGTGCAGCAGCCCGTCTTCCCCAAGTCTGGAAAGCTGTGGCGTCAACTTGCCACGGCACACGGTGACTTCAGAGCTCACTGCATCACCAAGATCTTCCAAGATGCTCAGGCCCGCGACGGTGTGAAGACATTCAACTACCGCTATGGCCCGATTGATGATGAACAGGAGGCTCTGGGATTCGGTGCATACCACACCGTCGAGTTGAACGGCGTCTTCGGTCCTAACAACACCGACGGTGCCCCTCCGAAGAGCTACTCGACCACCAACGCGCCTATCGTGCCATTGACTCAGGCTTACTGGGCCAGCTTCGTCAAAACGCTCGATCCCAACGCCGCCAAGATCCAGGCAGGCATGCCTGAGTGGCAGGCGTGGACGGCTGACGGAAAGCAGAGACTGCTGTTCCAGAACAACACTGGCACCATGGAGGGCATGCCCACTGCCCAACAAGACAACTGCGCCATGCTCGCACCCATGATCCCCTTCATCGAGACCCCGGCAACAGATGCCCAGAAGGCGACTGTGGAGCTGAAGAAGGTCAACTCGCAGGCCGCACCTCCAGCCGCACCTCCCGCACCCCCGAAGGCTGCTTTCATAACCGATGTTGCTCGTATGATGGCTGAAGCCGATAATGAAGAGCATAAGAAGAACAACGGTACAGCTAAGGGCGGCAAGAAGGGCAAGGGCGAGGGTAAGGGCAAAGGTGAGGGAGGCGCAGCCAAGGGCAATGGAACCGAACCCAGCGGAGGAAAAGGTGGTAAGGAAGGCAAAGGCAAAGGAAAGGGTGAAGGAGGTGCGGCGAAGGGCAACGGTACTGAGCCCAGCGGAGGAGGCAAGGGTGGTAAAGGAGGAAAAGGGAAGGGCGAAGGCGGTGCGGCCAGGGGCAACAGCACCGAGCCCGGCGGTGGAAAGGGTAAAGGAAAGGGCGGCAAAGGCAAAGGAAACAGCACCGAGCCCCGAGGAGGAAAAGGAAAAGGAAATGGTACTGCTGGTGGTGGCGGCAGGGGAGGAAACTCGACCGCGCCCCCAACAGTCGTCCCTCCTGGAAAGAGCTCTGCTACGGAGAACTTCCATGGGCTCTCTTGGATGTGGTCATCCATTGCCCTGGTGTGCCTGGGCCAGTTCCTTTTGGCTTGAAGATAGATACTTTCGGCCGTTGTTTGTAGTATACGAGACCTGCGAAGCATGAGACCACGGGCTTGCCCGTATTGATGATCAACTTGTATTCAATATCTCTGACCGACCTTCAGTGCCTCATGCCACCATTTTATATACCGACTGTTTTCTACCGCACATCAAAGCTTTGTGTATATTTCAAGCCTCTCTATTCCCAATGTGCTCATCCAACTCTCATAATCTTGACTTCAACTCCATTGCTGTAGTCTCGATGCCACTCTTGGTTTTGTTGTCGGGCTGTTTGATCTGGGTAACGAGCCAGCGTTCTATAGTCGATACCAATCCCTCGACCTGCTGAATGGTATTTCCTCCATGGATGCAGATTCTCACTCTCTCGCTTCCTGCTGGAACTGTGGGTGCGACGATGGGCCGGACCATGAAGCCCCGCTGCTGGCAGTGCAGTGCCAGACCTCTAGGGTTGGACGTGAATAGCGGTATTATTGGTGACTTTGGCTTCTCTGAAGAGAGATAGAGAAGGCCTGCTTCTGGTTGATATTGGCTGCAAAGCTCTTGGAGAAGCTGATGTGTGCGGTCAATGAGTGACCACAAATGGCGGAGTAGGGGCTCAGAGCGGCCGTCCATGATAAAGTTGTAAGCCGTTTGTATGCTGGCGAGTGCTGTGAATGGCATGGCCGTGGTGTAGATGAGACTGCGGGCGTAGTTGATCAAATACGATCTTGTAATCTGAGAGCAGAGAACGATGGCTGAACCAGTCAGTCAATGGATCTAAAGAAGAGAGTGAAACGGATGTAACTTACCTCCGGCGCAACTCATCGCCTTGCCGAATGTGTGAACTCGTCCCCAAACCCGATCCTCCAAGCCTAAGTCACAGACAAGTCCGCGGCCCCTATCACCCAATATGCCCGTTGAGTGGGCCTCGTCGACGATGATCAGGCCGTTCCCGTGCGGAAGCTGTCTTTCAACACACTCTACTATTTCTTTCAAAGGCGCCACGTCTCCATCCATGCTGTAGATACCCTCCACGGCGATGAAGACGTTCTTTGTGCCCTCTCTCACAGCCTTGCCTTCTTCACCGCGAGTCAATTCAGACAGAACCTCGCTCAAGCTTCGACTCGGGCTTTGGCCTCTTGCTGTCTCGTCCCACAACCGGTCTCCATTTGCGTTCTCGATCGGATTAACCGTATTGTGGGCGAAGGCGATCTTCTTTCCAGCTCGACTCATCTTCATCCCATCGTGGACGCTGGCGTGAATCAACTCATCGTAGACGATGATGTCGCCGTGCTGAGGGACGCAACTGAAAAGCCCAAAATTTGCATCAAACCCCGAGTTGAAGAGTAGCCCAGCCTGTCCACCATGAAAAGCCGCAATGTCTCTTTCGAGAGACTCTGCAAGCGATACATTGCCGTCCAAGAGGCGTGAACCACCAGAGCCGAGGAGAGCCGGGGTGTTTCCGTCCTCAGGACCATCAATCGGATTGAGGTGGGCCTGGATCCGGGTGAGATACCCGCGCTGGACCTCCGGGTGGGTCGAGAGGGAAAGGTACGCGTTGGACGAGAAGTCGGCGCTGCCGGCCGGGACGAGGGTCAGGCGCCGGAGCTGGCTCTTGGCCTCCCGGCGAGCCAGGAGCGCCGCAAACACACTGTCCAAACGGTCGCTTGCCGGCATGATTGGGATGAATTGGTTGTTGGGATTGTTGCGGGATGTGTCAATGTGTCAAATGAGGGACCACACACACCCAACCTCGGCATGGAAAGTCAAGAGACGAGGGAATTTCCCTTTGCACCCGGCGATCTCTCATAAACGCGAATGCGAGATCCATGCAGGTTCAAGTTCAACCCCACCAGACACACCTACCGGGCCGCACCGTTGGGAAACCCATTGGTGACTCGTGAGTAAGTGACACATAAGTCACTAAACTCAACAAGTTTTCCTTTTTCCCTATGATAGCCGCTGCGTTGCCCCAGTTCTCGGCGCAACAAATGCCGCAGCCTACGGTCCGTACCCCGCCCCGTCTCCTCCTTTTCCCCAGGCCTCGGAGCTTCCGGTTGGAGACAGCTCTTTTTCATTTCAGGCGCCTTGCTTGCTGCTCGCTGACAGCAAACGGAATTCGGACACCATTCATTGGCCTCATCACTTGTCTCTGCTCTCAATTACAATCCTGCTGTCTTTGATGGGCGTTTGATACTGGTTCAAGCCCTCAATGGCACCTGTCGGCGCCCTACTCTGGCGCTCCTTGAGAGCATACCAGATTTACGGCGCCAATACCGATGTCGGCAAGACTGTCTTCTCCTCGGTCCTGTGCATTGCGGCTCGCAAGCACTGGCCGCATGAGCAGACGGCGTTTCTCAAACCCGTCTCTACGGGCCCGGCTTCTGAAGCCGACGATGGGTGTATGTCCGGACCCTCATTTCCTCAACGAACGAACTCCATTTTTATCGCGGCTTCTCACCATTTACACACTGACCATCTCAACTAACCTCGGAAATAGAAGGGCAATATCCTCGGTTCTCAATCGGTGTTCGTGGTTCATTGATTGACATGCTCTTAGTCATATCGACAAGTTCGCCCCCGGAGTCGCGAACAAGACGCTGTTTCAGTTTGAGATTCCAGCAAGTCCGCATCTGGCCGCCGAGGTTTCGGAACAGGTGAGTTTGCTGCTACTTTTAGAAAATGCAACGTCAGGTTTTGGAGCTGCCACTGAAACATTCGCCTTAGCCCACCCCGACCGATAATGAAGTCCTGAAAGGTATTTACAGTTACGCATCGCGCCGAGCGGCCGGTGGCCCCGGCTGGCTTTTCGTTGAGACGGCCGGTGGCGTGCACTCGCCGGGCCCTTCCGGAACCCCGCAAGCCGACCTTTACGCCCCGCTCCGGGTCCCGGTCATTTTCATCGGCGATTCCAAGCTCGGCGGTATCTCCCAGACCATCTCTGCCTTCGAATCCCTCAAGCTTCGTGGTTATGATGTCGAATCGATCTTGCTCTTCCGCGATGAGCAGTACCAGAACTATTCCTACCTGACCGACTACTTCGCCAAAGGACAGGGCATCCCCGTCAACTCTCTCGAGCAGCCGCCGGCTCGCGCCGAGGATGTGCGGGCTGATGCCAAAGCGTTATCTCAATACTACGATGAGATGAGTTCCTCCAAAGTCATCAAGCACATCCTCGATCACCTTCATGACCGCCACCTCGCTCGGATTTCTCGCCTCGAGACCATGTCTCGCGACGCACACAACATCATTTGGTACCCCTTCACACAGCACAAGAACCTCACGCCCGAAAAGATCACGGCCATTGACTCTGCCCATGGCGACTGCTTCCAAACTCTGGTTCCTCAGAGCCAGGACTCATCGACAGATCAGGCGCTGTTGCAGCCCTCGTTCGACGGATCTTCATCATGGTGGACACAAGGTCTTGGTCACGCAAACCCCAACTTGACTCTCGCCGCATCCTACGCCGCTGGTCGCTATGGACACGTCATGTTTGCCTCCGCAGTTCACGAGCCTGCGTTGGCTCTTGCCGAGACTCTCCTCAAGGGCTTGGAGAACCCGCGCCTCTCTCGCGTCTTCTACTCTGACAATGGCAGCACCGGTATGGAAGTCGCCGTCAAGATGGGTCTGCGCGCAGCCAGGGTCAGATACGGCTGGGAAGCCAGCGACAAGCTTGAGATCCTCGGCTTGAAGGGCAGCTACCACGGCGATACCATGGGCGCGATGGACTCTACAGAACCCTCTGTCTTCAATGAGAAGGTCGAATGGTATGAGGGCAAGGGTTTCTGGTTTGACTACCCCTACGTCTTGTGCAAGGATGGCGAGTGGCAAGTCCAAGTACCCAAAGCCCTGCAAGACGATTTGGGAACTGGAAAGACATTCAGCACTTTGTCCGATGTCTTCAATGTGACTGGTAGGGAACAGGCTCAACAGCAAGAGGCATACGAGAAGTACATCGTCAAGGTTCTCACTCGTCTTCGTGACCAGGGCCGCAAGTTCGGTGCTCTTGTCATGGAACCAGTCATTCTTGGAGCCGGAGGGATGATCATGGCGTAAGTATCCATACATCTGCATCACAACTCTTGCTAACTCGTCCCCTTTTGAAGCGACCCTCTGTTCCAGCGCACTCTCGTCAAGGTTACCCGACAACACCCTGAGCTCTTCGGCAAATCAACCACTGCCATCAACGAAGATGGAACCACCTGGGCTGGCCTGCCTGTCGTCTTTGACGAAGTCTTCACTGGTCTCACCCGTCTCGGCCGCTTCTCTGCTGCATCTTTCCTCGGCGTCGACCCAGATGTCATCTGTAACGCGAAGCTACTCACGGGTGGTTTGGTCCCGCTTTGCACCACCTCAGCATCCGACAGCATCTTCCGGGCCTTTGAGAGCGATGAGAAGAGTGACGCCCTCTTGCATGGCCACAGCTACACTGCTCATGCAGTTGGATGCCAGGTCGCTATCGAGTCTCTTCATGAGTTGCAAAGGATGGACAAGCAGGGAGAGTGGGACTGGGCAAAGAAGAGCGAATGGGCGTCCGAGTCGACTGTCGTAATCACCTCCAAGAATGAAGAATCGGCTGCAGTTTGGTCTGTGTGGTCCCAGCCGTTTGTTGACTGGGTCTCCAAGCAGAATGGTCGTGTTGCGGGTGTGTGGGCTTTGGGATCTGTTCTTGCTATTCATCTGGAAGACAGCGAGGGAGCTGGTTACTCCAGCAATGTAGCCGTGGACCTTCAAAGCGCCCTTCTGAAGGGCGGTATCGGCTCTGAGGGTGAGCGATGGAACGTTCACAGTCGCGTGCTTGGAAATGTTCTCTACGTCATGACCAGTCAGACAACAAAACAGGCAGATGTGAGCAGACTAGAGACCCTTCTGAAGAAGGCTCTTTCTTAGGGGAAAGTCAAATACCTCGCAAGTCATACTTAATAGAGAAAGATTAATCAAATCTGTCTTGATATTTTTTCGTGGACGCAGACACCATGAGTACAATTCCAATCCTGACATAGACATCGAGCATGTCCCACAGAAGTATAGTGACATTCAGAAAGTAGACCGGCAAACAGTTTTCAATTGACACAAACTCGTTTCTCTGAAGAGTGCTCAAATGTTAAGTTATTTAACTTGAAAAGTCGATTGAAGACTACATTCCCATTATATTCACACGTGACAAGTCAAATTGTACTAACGCGATTTGCCGGGCCATGTTGTGTCGATGAAGTTTGCATGTTGGAATCGAGATTTTCCTGCAGGGTTGGACCCAGAGGTAACAATTCCCAGATTGGATGTGGCCCATTTGTTGTTTCTGTCATCTGGGCTGGTCTGTATCCTTCATAAGGCTTCGGCTGGGGTAGACCCTCAACGGTCGAGCCTGGAGAGCCTCTTCTCCTCCTCCTGAATGGCCAGCAAGCGCAGTATCTAATCGAAGTTAGTCACAAGTTCCGAAATTACGTCATCTCAGAAAACCATGTTGACTAATACAACAGTTATGGAAAGAAATATTGAGACTTACACAATGCTTGAAAGAAACATGAAAGCAACACTTGCACAGCCGGCACTGACTCCAATGCGTTGCTCATCCGAGAGATCTCTCAACTGTCAGTCATAAGCTCACTTGATGCACGAGAGGAAGCTGATATTCACCTTGCATCATGCCACTCCCTGGGGGTGGTTTGCTCGACGGTGGCCCCGGCTCCGAAGTTGCAGTTGAAGTTTCTGTCCTCGTCGTGTCTATCGTGGTTGGGAGAGAAGTCACCGTTGCTGTTGCCGTAAAAGCGAAGGAATCTGTATGGGTCGGCAGTTCTGAAGAATCTGTAGGAGCGTCTGTGGGAAAAGTAAACCCTTCGTCTGTAGTGCTGGGAAGCACTTCGCTTGATGGCATTCCCGGCCATTTATCGGAGCACAAAAGCGCAGTCACATAATTAGACGTGGAGGCCGTCCATGAGATCGGATTGCACCAGGGTGTGTTTCCTGAGCTACTGAATGTCAATTTTGAGGTCTATTTTGATACTATTTTCAACTAACAAACGTACCATGACAAAGTTCCTAGTGATATTGAGCCAAATCCGGCTGGACGCGGCACCCCGGCCCCGTTTAAGCACAATTTGTTGACAACACATTTTGATTTCGTCGATGCCTCACAGCACCCCACGAACCCCTGGTTGGTAGTACAAATGTGACTGACAGGACAAGTAAAGCTTGGTCCGCAGGTACGTTGGCCCTGATTTTGTCGTTCGAGCACAGATTGGGCCACGACTGGAGGCGGGGTCACAGCCGATTTTGGGTACTCTCCCTCAAAAGTGACGGTGGCGGGGATTCGGGCAGCACATTTTGCAGTGTCTGCAAAAGTCCCAATAAGAAATACACCAACGAATATCGAATTGAAAAGAGTCATTGTTTCAAAGTCTCGGGCAAGGAACGTCACACGAACTCAGTGATGGGTGAGGGCGATGGGGTTATTATGAAAACTTGGAGAATCCCGAAGAAGAGGCAGTAACTCTAATAAGCTACGATCGAAACAACTAAAAGTCAAGCCTAGTAGCTATGCCAATTAATTAGCAAATTGACTTCTTTTTACCCTATTCGGCAGCCTCATCAGCGCCGAAACGTCGTTAGGAACGGTGGCTGCGAAACTCATTTTAGTGAATCTGCCTCACGAGTATGTTTTCGTCGATGAGTCTGAATCAGGACCATTTCATTGGATAAGGAGTCTTGGATGCCTAACAGAAAGCCAGTGGCTCTTGCGACAGTCAGACATCCACATTGTAGTATGTCTTACGCCTGAAGCCGTGAAATAAGGGATTTGCAGAGACGAGTTCTCTTTTGAGGCTCAAAAGTCCTCTTCCACCCACGCAATTCCCATGTTCTACGAGACTTCGTTTTTACCGGTTTTCGTGATCGTTTATTCCCGATGGCCGACAACATATCTTGCAGCGAGCTTCAAATCCTGAAGGAGTTTGACAAATACATCATTGCTGTGGAAAAGGAAACCAATTTCACAGATGAATTTCTTTCCTCTTGCAAAAAGGATATTTGTGGTGCGATATGGGGGGACACCAATCCAGATATATCAGGAATAGGGGTTTGTTAACTTTGAGCTCCTTCACAGGCAACGATAATGCTAATTCTCATCTTGACAGGTTTCTATAGGCTACGCAGTTGAACTTGCCCTGGGATTCTCCTTGGCTATCATTGCCTTGCTGATCCGGCAGAGGCAGGGTCGAAGGTGGGAGTTTTTCCAGATCGTTACCAAGAAAGGTCTAGAAGCCTTCTTCGAGTTCGCGGTCTACTTCGCCATTGCCGTGGAGCTTGCAACAACTGTTATGCTTGTCAACAAAGACTTTGGCATCAACACTGCTGGCTTTGGGGCCAACGAAGCTCAGAACGCGTTGGCGATCGCCATCATATGCGTCATTCCGCTCGTGTATCCAATTGCACTTCTGCCCACAAGGATGTTTCACCCAGAGAGTGCAAGACAAAAAGCTATTGAGAGGAAGTCAGAGCAAGAAGAAAAGAAGCAGAAGTTTCGGCTGTTGCTTTTCTGTCTAGTTGTCGTCCTGTTTTTCTATCCGTTTCTTTCACAATGTATCCACAACTGGGGTCCTTTGCGGGTTGGCGAAGGAGCTGGCAAAAACGGTTCAACGTTGATAAAGCACGATGACTGGGCTCGGATCCAGCAAATGTGTTTTGGACACGTCGGAAGATTGACAGATGCGGAGTACTGGCTGCTTGCCGTTTGCGAAATCATCGCCTCGCTCTTAATCCTCCTCTTCACGCTGTGGCACGCGATGGGAGTCGGTTTACAACGTTGGAAGGACGAAGAAAAGTTCCAAGGGAAAGAGGGAAAAGGTACCGTCATGTTGTCGAGAACACGTAATGTGCTTCAAAGGGGTTGGCATGGCCACCGCATTATGCTTCTGTTCTTACCAGTCGTCTTAGGAGGAGTCCTACTTTGGTGTATCTTTCGACTACGGAAAATTCAAGAAGCGGCCGCCTTTAGGTTGGAGATCGATTATTCCGGCAATGACTGGGGATTTGGGCAAATTGTTGGTATTATTATCTTCGCTCCCGTCGTTGCAGACATGGGGTTTGCTGCTTGGACGTCGTGGTCGTTACTGGGCAAGGATGAGTACGATACTGTTAGTAGCCAAGGCAGTATTTAGATTGTCTGGCATAATGTCTGTTATCTTCTACGGCACGAGGTTCAATATCCCAGCGGATCTGAGTGCGTTTCTGAGCATCACTTGCCAGCAATTATCACACGAGACTGGATTCATCTGCCGTAATCCATGTCCGTGGCTGGTGAGACTATTCCACGCTTCTACGTGCGACTTACACAGCAGCCGTCGGTCAGCGATGCAGTAGTCTGTCATCACTAAGACGCCGGACAAGATTTGCAAAGGATTTGAAAGGTTCTCCGGGTCTTGCAGATCTGATGCGCGACATGAAGCAATCCACGCAGCGGCATAAATCCGCGACATGTGTCTGTCGCTTCGGAAAATCAGCGCATTGAGGCCCAAGCTGTAACCCAGAGCGTCTGGTTAAAGTTGACGTGTCGTGCGGATTTAGTGCTGACCTTGCGTGCAATTCCCGGCGGCCTTGCAGGATGGAAGCGGGAAGGGTGGTGCTTGCATAGGTAGATCACGTACAGGTCCTGAGTGATCCTTAGGGGTTAAACGATGACTGAAACTCTCTAGTCATCTCAACTTGCCGAGGTGAAAACAACTTAGATGTGTGATTATCTATCTTCGTGGACTATACCGAGCTTCAATTTCCAGATGGATGCAGGCTGCCATGAACGGACGGAGTTAACAATGGTTTGCAGATGAGAGCAGGGTTCCGACCGAAGGTTACCGATCATGCAGTGACTGAATCATCCCAGCGACGGATCATCTTCCAGGCTGTGGAACAGGGATCATCAGCGCTACAGACGGCCCTAAGCAACCGAAATCCAAAGTCCGTGTCCGTGGGCAGCAGACTCTTCTTCAAGTTCACAAAAGATCAGATCTAAAGACGAATTGGAAGTAATTCAAAAAAGAGCCGGTGGTTGGAAGAAAAGCTTTGATCAAGTCTTCAAATGAAGCAAAAGATGTGGCGGATGAGGTCATGTTCGCTGACGTATGCAGCCCCAGCTCGGCCAACTCTGATGATCCTCCACAGCGACGAGAAAAGCGCGAAGCTCCGTGATGAGTGGCTAAAGGCACCGTCGGCCGCTGTAACCCCAGGCTTGGCCAGGTACAGGGAGATCTGCAATCTAATCTGTTCCCGTGCGCGCCGCAAAAATGCCGGCCGCCTCCCGCTTACCGCCCTATCTTGATGCTTAGCTTTGCTTGGCTATGTGGCTGTCTGCACACTGCTGCAGTGGGATGGATGCCACCCAGAACTTACGGCGTACTGTTTCCTTGTCTGTCGTATCTGTCTTTCTGTCACATTGTCACTCTGTCACTCAATCTTCGTTGCCGTCCAGCCGTATCTCTTTCCGCCCCCCCCCTTGGCCATCTCATCTGCAAATGCTTCTATTCTCCAGTCTGCTGCAGTCCCCCTTGCCACTCAATCAGAGACCGTCACTCGGGAAACAGTGGAGATGCCTAGGCAAAAAGCCGTTCAGCTGTTCCCACATTTTGGCCCTGTTTCTCTCCGAGGCGTCCGAGAGAAGAGCGGATATCACGGCCCGTCCTAGCATCAAAGCTTGACCTCTCGATCGACCCCACACAGCGTTCACGCCTGCAGCGCCGCCCACGTCTGTGTGAGCACGCACATCTCGTCGCACGGAGAGTCCGTCTTGTCAGGGGTTTCCCTCGTGTCCAAGCTGTCTTTCTGTTCTCTGGCGTTCCTCGTTCCCCCCACAGAAGTCGAGCTCCATCTGTGAGGAGCCGTAGACGAGTACCGAAAGTGGCTCTGTTGCGGTTTCGCAATCGCACTTGTTCATAGAACAAATGGAGCCCGGGCAGGCCCTGTTTTGACGGCCGAATTCCGTCCTACCTCCATATTTCGCCTCCACTCTGTCCGTCAGAGACCGCCCGCCCTCCCTTCAGATATCCCCCTTGGTGGATAAGCACTTCGCGGCTCGCCCCTACGCCACGACCGATCCTTCTTTCTTCTAGACTGAAGACCGGTCGGTAGGCTTCACTTACAATGAACTCCAAACAAGCCTCTCTCCTTCGCTCGCTCCCCACATCGGCCCCGGCGCACCGTTCAGCGCCGACCGGCCGATAGCGGTCCGGGAGGGGCATTCGATGTTTTGTCGTTGCAGGGCGGTGGGAACTGCTGGCCATGTGGGCATGACGTCGTCGTCTCATGTCTTCGCCGAGTTACTTCCTAATGGGCGGACTTGTAGGCCAAGGAAAAATGCCGCTGTGGTTCTGGACCTCACGGCCATGGCGACTCGTAGTCGTGAGGAGAGAGTTTTCTCTGAATGTATAAAGCCTCTTGCTCGGCCGCTCCTGTCGTCGATATTAGATGCAGCTCATCTTACTCACGCATAGTTTTCATCATTGAGTTATCATCAAGTTTACACATATACCCCTATTTGAACTACTAGTATCACTGATTTCATCACTACATCAACAACCCAATACCAGTATACCAACAACAGCATGGCCACGACTCAGTACGGAAAGCGCTTGATCCCTCAGGTGCTCGACGAGATCGCCAAGTCAGACCCTCACGCCGAAGTCCTCTCAGTTCCCCGCTCATCCAACCCCAAAGATGGATGGAGGAAGATCACCTATAAGCAGCTCGCCAACGCGGTGAACCGCATAGCTCACAGAATTATCGACAAGAGGGGCAAGCCTGAACCCGGAAGCTTCCCTACTCTCACCTACATCGGCCCCAGCGATGCCCGCTACATGATTGTCATGATTGCCTGTATCAAGGCTGGATACAAGGCGCTCCTGATCTCCCCCAGGAATTCGCATGAGGGCCAGATGAACCTTTTCGAGAAGACGGACTGCAACATCATCTGCTTCGACTCATCATTCAAGGATGTCATCCAGCCCCTTTTGGAAGAACGCCAGATGGATGCCATCATGGTGAGCTCCGCCGACGCCTGGCTCGACGAGACGGAAGTCCCCCACTTCCCTTACGATAAGACCTTCGAGGAGGCTAAGATGGACCCCGTCGTCGTTCTGCACACGAGTGGTAGCACCGGCCTCCCGAAGCCCATCGTCGCTCGTGTGGGCATGTGTGCAGTTGCCGATGCATTCCACGACCTTCCGGATTTCATGGGTTCCGAGAACTGCATCAAGTCTATTATGCTTGGCGAGCGCATCTTCCTGCCGATGCCCCTATTCCACGCCGCCGGATGCTACATGTCCACCTTTGCCGCCATCTACTGGAAGCACCCTGTCGCGTTGGGCTTCATCGACCGTCCTCTTACACCCCAGACCGTCTTGGACGCTGTTGAATACGCCAAGATCGACAACATCATCTTGCCTCCTGCCATTCTTGAGGAGATGGCTCACATGCCTGAGGGTATCGAGGCTCTCAAGAAGCTTAAGCGTGTGAACTTTGGCGGTGGTAACCTCGCACGCGAGGCCGGCAACATCCTCACCAAGGCTGGCGTCAAGGTCTGCAGTGTCATCGCCTTCACTGAGGCCGCTCCCCTCCCGTACTTTTTCCAGAAGAACTTGGACCTCTGGCAATGGTTCATCGTCGACTCTGAGCGCTTAGGTGTTGAGTGGCGCCAGGCCAGCGGTGAGGATGAGGACATCTACGAGCAGGTCATCGTTCGTAAGGAGAAGGAGGATCCTCTCCAGGGTATTTTCTACACCTTCCCTGACGCCAAGGAGTACTCCACCAAGGATCTCTACCGCAAGCACCCTACCCTTCCCAACCACTGGATGTACTACGGCCGTGCCGACAACATTATCGTCTTCTCCAACGGTGAGAAGTTGAACCCGGTCACCATTGAGGAGATCGTTACCGGTCACCCGAGAGTCAAGGGTGCCGTTGTTGCCGGAGCTATGCGCTTCCAGCCGCTGCTCATTATCGAGCCCATGGAGGACCTCAAGACGGAGGAGGAGAAGGAGAAGTTCATCGACGATGTCTGGCCCCTGGTTGTCAAGGCGAATAAGGAAACTGTTGCACATGGCCAGATTGGTCGCCAGTTCATCGCTGTCACCACTCCCGATAAGCCATTCCCTCGCGCCGGTAAGGGTACCATCCAACGTCCTATGGCTTTGAAGCTGTACAAGGAGGAGCTCGACGAGTGGTACCAGAAGGCCGAGGACGGATCCGACTCCGTTTCCGTCCACATCGATGTCAGCTCCCAGCAGACCCTCATCGACTCCATCGAGAAGCTCTTCCAGCAGACTCTCGGCAGCAGGGCTCTCTCCGCCGATTCCGACTTCTTCAGTGCCGGTATCGACTCTATGCAGGTTATCAACGCCTCCCGCCTCCTCCGCAAGGGTCTTGAGGTTGCCGGCGCCAACATTACCGCCGACGCCATCGCTACCCGTGTCATTTACGCCCATCCCACACCCAGACAGCTGGCTTCTTACCTCTTGGACCGTGTCAGAAAGAACACTGGGGTCAACGGCGAAGATGAATCTGAAGGCCCCAACCATGACATCGCCGCCATGGAGGCCCAGCTTCAGAAGTACACCCGCGACCTGCCCCAGAAGCAGGGCAACAAGCCCGGCCCCAATGACCAAGGCCAGACTATCCTCATCACCGGTACCACGGGTGCTCTCGGCTCTTACATGCTCGACTTCATGGAGTCCAACCCTGCCGTCAAGAAGGTTGTCTGCCTCAACCGTAGCGAGGACAGCGATAAGCGCCAGGTCAAGATGAGCGCCGAGCGCGGCCTCAAGACCGATTTCAAGAAGGCCGATTTCCTTTGCGCCGACATGTCCAAGAGCAACCTCGGCCTCGAGCCCGAGGTCTACGACAGGCTGCTCAAGGAGGCCGACCGCGTCATCCACAACGCCTGGCCCGTCAACTTCAACATCTCCGTCGAGACCTTTGAGCCTCACATCCGCGGTGTCCGCCACTGGGTCGACTTCTCCCTGCGCGCCGCCAAGAACGTCCCCATCATCTTCATCAGCAGTATCGGCACTGTTGACTCCTGGCCTGGTCCTGGCCCTGTTCCTGAGAACAGACTCATGGACCTGTCTCTTCCCAGTACCGGCTACGGACGCTCCAAGATGGTCAGCTCCCTAATCCTCGACGAGGCTACTCAGCGCTCTGGTGTTCCTACCGCCATCGTCCGTGTCGGCCAGGTCGCTGGTCCTCAGTCCAAGTCTGGTGTCTGGAACCGTCAGGAGTGGCTGCCGACCATCGTCGCCAGCTCCGCCTACCTTGGTCTCCTGCCCAAGGACCTTGGCGCCATGGGTCTGGTGAACTGGACTCCCATCGAGGGCATTGCCAGTCTCATTCTTGAGGTCTCCGGTATCGCCGAGCCTGTTCCCCTGCAGAACATCAGGGGTTACTTCCACGGTGTGAACCCGCGCACCGTCGAGTGGGAGAAGCTTGCCGAGGCGGTCAAGTCGTTCTACGGCGACCGCATCAAGAAGGTCGTCTCCTTCAAGGAGTGGGTCAAGGCTCTGGAGGAGAGTGCCTCTTCCACCGACGACGTCGACAAGAATCCTGGTGTCAAGCTTCTTGACTTCTACCAGGGCCTGGCTTACAGCGGAGGAAAGGGTGTCGACTTCTCGATGGAGCGCACTGTGAAGCACAGCAAGGCGATGAAGGAGATGCAGGCCGTCACGCCTGAGCTGATGCAGAACTGGTGCAGACAGTGGGGGTTCTAAATTTGAATGAGGGATTGGGTCGGAGTTTGGGTATAGATTGTAATGTGTAGTCATTTGAGCGAGCTCTGAAAAGTATAACTGAATTCCATTCATTGGTAAAAGAATGACACCTCTGCCGAATCGTTAGAACGTTATCGTTCGCTGTCGCTGTTGCCTGTCCAACATATTTGAGGTACATAGGCGGAAGCGAGGGGTGATGTGATAGGTTGCATTACACCCACTGCATAAGAGTTGTTGGTCATGTCGCTAGAGTAAGCTGACAGTTTCCTCGACAACATCACATTCCCGGGGCCGCAACACCGTCATTGAACATTTTGGGTGCAATTGCACATGTCCTCGCGAGCTCCTCTACCTTCTATCTCTCTCTCGTCTAATCATGGAGGTTTCTTCAGAAGATAGCTATCGATATCAACCACTCTCAGCAGCCGACTCAGTCCGCCTGCTCAGAATCTCACGAGCAGATGACCAGCCTCATGGAATGCTCCTCTCTCTGGAGGAGGTACGGCTGGATGGACATCCGGACTTTGCTGCATTATCCTATACCTGGAAGCTTCCTGAGTACGACGTCAGGAGAGACCAAGATTGCGGGGCATTAATTGAAGTCATCTGCGACGGGAAGTTGATGACCATCTCCGAGAACTTGTTCAATTTCCTTTGCGCCGCGATGCGCGCGACCGAAGTGAGTAACGAAACATCAGCGAAATTGGAATCCAAGGTCAATGGCATCTTGAAGGATCTGCCGTTGTGGATAGACGCCTTTTGCATCAATCAGAATGATTCTGAGGAAAAGCGACATCAGGTCCTCTTGATGCACAGGATATACAGCGCAGCAAGAAACGTCATAGTCTGGCTAGGGCCTGCGCAACCACCCCCAGATGTGCTCTGGGTTCACGACAAGTTCATCCCGGCCATCTCCAAAGCCGAGCGAATGAAGCCCAAATTCACGGAAACTCGTCTGAAGAAGGACCCCTTGTGCAGCTCGATGGAAACGATGCAGGAGTTGGGCCCTGAGTTATGCTCTCGCTGGCTGTTGGCATGGCTAGAGTTCTTTTTCTACTTCGACCGCCAATGCTGGTTTGACCGAGGCTGGATTGTTCAAGAGGTCGCACTATCCGATCCTGCCAACGTTTACATCTGTTGTGGAAGATCTGCTCTTCGTTGGAAACGTCTTGCTGCTTTCGCCCAGTTCCTACACGAGACTGGGTGGAGTTCCGCACTTCAGGAGCATATTGAGAAGACCGCCACCACCGGGGATATTCAGATCATTCAGAACAGGAGAGCTGTTTATCCTTTGCAAGTCAGCTCGAGGATACTCAAAATAAGCCAGGCCCGCGCTTGGCTCGCCGAGGTTGCTCAACATATGGGGCATGCTGAGTCTGCTTGGAACAGCAAATTGGACCAAAACTGGCTAGACTGCGCCAATGTTTTGGTCGATTCGCTTCGGTCTTCGAGGTTCGGTGATGACCGCGACCATATATACGGGTGCTTAGGGATGCTGTCTATGCTTTTACCGCAAGGCTACGAATGCCCCATACTTCCCAACTACGAGAGCACGGTCGAAGAGGTGTTTACTGATACCGCTGGTCTTTTCTTGACGAACACCCCTTTGCTGACCGAATTATCACGAATGGAAGAGCCCCATTTGCGTCGATACTACAAACTACCGTCCTGGGTACCTGATTATTCCGCCAGGAAAGGCCATCGTATAGTGGCAAGTTGGAACTTTCCCATCAATCGATACCTCAACATGAGTGTTTCGGAGCTGCGAGACACGGAATCAAAGCTATGGGGATGTGATTTAAGGCGTCCAAAGCTGGTACGACCCGTCCTCTGCGTCCACGGCTTTTGGCTAGATACCATACTCGAAGTGGCTGCCGAGAAGCCTTTTCAGTGGCAGTCGAGAGATATTGCAACCTTGATTGAGAAATCTGGACCAGAATCGGTCGGATACAACGGATTCTGGAAGACGCTGTCTTTCGCTTATCAATGCCTCATGTGGGGAGAAGATCCATATCCGTATGAGAGACTGTTAGATCAGATTGAAGACGATGCTCCTCGAAACCCTCCTGCACGAACAAAGAGGCAGCGGGTAAAGGACTCACGAACATCTGGATTGGAACATCCTCAGAACGTAGTGTGGACGGAGTTGGCAAACAGAACGATTTACGGCACGGAAGGGGGAGAACTTGGGCTGGGTCCCATCACGGTACGACAGGCAGATGAGGTATGGCTATTAGAAGGTTCCCGAACTCCATGCATTCTACGCAGAGCGGATTTCACCTCTGGAGAGAAGTTAGAGAGAGAAAACCAACCCAGAATGTATAAGTTTATTGGGGAGACTGACCTACGCAGCTTCGACATCCAGTCTACACATTTGACTTCTGAAGCGAGCCGGGGCTTTTATGAGGAGATTGGTCTCGCATAAATAGAATCAATTCAAACAACGGATTACGCTTATCTATCTCAGGGACAGGAAGCCTTCATGCAAAAGCAAATTAATAAACAAAAGGGAATATTTCTAAGAACATGTAAAATCACGATGTCAAGAACAAAAAAGCTGCGCCGAGGGGGAATCGAACCCCCGGCTCCCCGACGTTGCTCAATGGCAACGGAGAATTTTACCACTAAACCATCGGCGCATTTTTATTCAAGCACTGTCATTGAGAATACTTACATTCTTTCTTGCTTGGGGCTCTCAATCAAGATGATTTTCCGCGAATACTACCTGAGCAGATATTCTTGGCCGCGAGGAGCCCAGACCTGCGGGGTTCGACTCCGGTAGTGTCCTGAACTTGACCGATAGTTGACCCAAATCCACGCGGAGGACTGCAAAGCCGCAGGGCGACCATCAGCAAGGTAATCCCATAGGTCGCCTCCTTTCTCCAGAATCAGCAGCCTGTACCCATGATAACTGTCCCTTTGCGTTGAGCTTTCAGTCGAGACCCTCTTGGCCTTTTTGTCCAAAAGCTAAAACGCCTCCGCCAAAGTGTGGCCCCGCCTCCAGACGCGATATGAGATTATGATTTTCTCCAGCAAGTCCAAGAGATTGATCAACACTCTCGTAAAACCCAAAGGGAAGTACAGCGCGATGAATAGCCAGACCAACACCGGTGGTGGCGCGAGAAGCCACAGGATAACGGCGAACTGTGGAAGAGGTGGGCTCGCTATGGGGCATGCTGACAGTGTCCCGCAAGGATACTCTGTCGATGGGTTGTGGTTCATGGCATTTGGGGATAGGTTTTCAGAAAGGATATCCATGGTAGATGTAGGTTGGCGTTGTCGTCGTCGTGCGAGCGCACTGAATGTGAGTGAGACGTGTTATTGAGCGATGCCTGGCCAAGTTGTACTTGAATGTGGTCGCGGTAGCAGATGATAAGTATGGTCATCTTGTTCGTGTATCCATCTGGGCAGCGGCGCAGCAGCCAAGCGACACCGGCACTCAATGCTTCTGAGTGCAGAGCCGATTTGCCGGTAAGCTTGGCTTTGAACTCCATTGGCCTGGTTTACGAAAGAAAGCCCGTAGCTTTGAATTTCATGGCCCAGTCGGATTAAGAGGTTTCTGTCTTAGGTTACTTCTCGAATACATCGTCCATCTCCGTCGGGGGCCCGAGATGACGTGTTTCCAACCAGTCCATAGAACCAAAGTTGTGATTGGTATGGTGCTACTCAGGGACAGGCGCCTGCCCTTTTCATAATCTTACTGAGGGAGACAGCTGAACGATATTGCAGGTCGCGAAGCAACTTAAATGGTTTGAGATCACAAATAAGTAAGTAGAATGGTGACAAAGGGATCCTTCTTCAGTGTCAATAGTCATTGTGGCGGTATGCACATGTGCCTCCCTTTGAACTAGAAAAGCAACCGCAATGCATCTCCAATTTGCAACTCCGGCCCAAAATACCCGAAAGAGCCCCCCTTTCTACAAAGTCCACGAGACTGCTTGTGAAATAGAGCCGATGTCTTCGCTATCTTCTCTGAATCGGTCTAAGGAAAGTGTCGCAATGGCTCATGCCGTGTTGCCCTCCGCGCACCGTCTCGTCTGTAGCATTGTAACATCCCTGTTTCGATCGCGCCGTCTATTTGGGAACAGCGTACTTGGTGGTCCACTCCTTGGCCGTCGCGATAGCAGCCTGCTCATCCTCCTTCCAGCTCTTGGCAACATCGGCAGCAAGCGGGTCGTCGGGGTTCGGGGCACCCAGGAGGGCCTGGATGGAGAGCAGGATGGTACGGATCTGGAGGGCGGGGGACCAGTTGTCTGTAGGGGAAGCTCTTTGTTAGCTCTAGCGCACCAAGAAAAGTTCAATCTGCAGACCACTCACTCTTCAGGACGTCAAGGCAGATACGGCCGAGCTTGTCCACATTGGGGTGGAAGATCTTGGTGAGGAAACGGATCTTGGGGGGAGTCATGGGGTAGTCGTCAGGCAAGAAGAGTTCCAACTTGAAGACACCACCTGCAGTCTCGTCAGTCCACCATTACTAGCGCAATATGGCAGGTGTGTTCGAACCTTCGTATGGCGATTGTGAAGGACCGTGGATCTCGACGTCGAAGTAGCGGAGGTTGTCCTCGTGGGGAACGGCGCTGATGCCCGGGACGCTGTGCAGATGGCCTTCGTCAGTATTTCGTCGCAAGACTTGGGTTGCTTGGAGGACCCTTACGGCTCGGCCATGAGACGCTCGGTCTCTTTGACAATACGCTTGGGCAAAGCCATGTTGGGCGACGAGGAAAGTGGTATTTTCGGGTTGTTTGAAGGAGGTAACGAAAGAGGCGATTCGAAGATGCTCTGTGCCGGTCCCCGGTGGTGGATGTGAATGGCGGTGTTTGGCGGGGCCAAGTGGGTTGGTGATTCACAAAGGGAGGCGCCTTCCGGGTCGGAGACGTCAAATCGAAGTCGCGTGTACCGGAAGAGGGAAACCGCAAGAGGCAATGGAAGTCGGATGCTCGGGAAGCCTTAATGGAGTGACAGGCGGCGAGAAATCGGCTCTAGTGTTTCGAACACAAGGC